TGTCCAAGTCCAAGACCAAGGACTAAGTTGGGTCTGTATCGGTTGGTATGTATTTGCTGGTGGTCCGGGTTTTTCAAGGAACAAAGCACAGCATCCCAAACAGTGTTCCAGTCAAAGTCCACAGGGAAAGAGGAAGTCTGATCTCCATCTCGGCTTTGAAAGCGACGGTACATAATGCATGTCTAAAAATATGAGAATACAGTTTAGATACATGTACCATCTTCAAAATTCAACAAGGGATTGATTTCAAGGCGGTTCTTAATTAAAGAACGGAAGAAGAGGAACGCTGTAAAGTAAACTGGATGCAGAGGTCCTCAAATGAATGGAAGCCCCCGTCTCCAAGGAAACGTAAGCCTTCTATACCATTGTCTATATGGAAAAAAAACAGTATTCAATTTGAATCGAGTATCCTGATTATTGGGAAATATGAAAGCGTTTTAGACATAGTTTTAGTATAATTTGCACATTTTTAACTGATCAATGTGAAAATCTGAAGAAAGAATCTGAACCCTAATGCATCATTAATAGGTTTCTCAATTCAATTCAATTTCATTTTTTTCATTTTCATTTCCATTTTTATAGCCCTAAATCAAAATAGTAGTCATCACGGAGGACTTTACAAAGCTGTGGATTTGCCAACACAGATCAGGTAATTATTATTATTATTATTTTTATCAACACAAAGGATGCACAGGGGCAACACACAAAATGTATCCTTAAATCATCCTGTACAAAAACAAAGCATTTTCTATTTAAGATGAAAATTAAAGCTGGTGACGTCTTGGGTGATTGCATCATCTATACAAGTTCTCAATTATAGCCGTTAATGAAAAATAGATTAGCTTTGGTCAAACGAATATGATCACTGACCACTTTTGCAAACTCTGCTGTTTGTCTGAGTATGGGAGGGTGGGAGATATAAATCCAGACAGTCCTTTCTCAGAGCCTTTGCCTTAAGACTACAGTGCAAGTCATATTAGTCACACTGTAAATCAGGAGTTTGTAGCCTCTCCCTCTCCGTGTCTGCAGGCCGGGCGGCGCTGGTGGGTGTGTTGACTTCCTAAATGAAAACACTGTCCATGTGCGTGACGGCCCAGCACACGAGGGACAGGGGCAGACCGGACCCCACCAAAAGATCACAGTCGCTCCAACATCACTCCAAGTCCCTCCAAGCATCTCGGGTTCTCAGTCAAAACACGGAGGGAAAACTATTTGTGGAGTAAGGAAAATGTCCCGCAGCACAAACCCGGGTGAGATCCACAAGAGGAAATAAATCCTTGGATGTAAACCTGATTTGAGAACAGTTGCAGCTCTGTTCGTGGAGGATGTATGAGTGTGGGTGAGGCTGACATGACAGACAGTGAGATGGGGAGGGTTTATCAAGTAAAATACTACAAGCAGGTAACATTTACTTTGAATTTGGTTCAAAATCATTAGAAAATATATATGAACTGTCTTTAAACAAGATTGACTAGTTGGACAACGTGCTCATTTTCAACCATCGTACATTTCTACTTCTTGAGTAGAGTTCATCTTTAGTAATGTACTCAAAACAAGATTACATTTATTTCAAGCGTTATGTGTATAATTTTGCAATGCATTAGTAGTGTGTGTACTCATACTATATACAAACCGTCTACAGAATATGTGAAATACATTTTTCAGAATCCATCTCACTCAGACTCGGCTACATTGATGTCAAAGTGAGGGTCAGTTTTGTGAACCTTTGGGGTTTGACCAGGTCCAAATTACACGAAGCTATTTAGTTAAGTAAGTACAGTATGTGTAGTACATTCTTTTCTAGCGATGTGCATGTCCATGAGATGCTAAGGTTTTGCAGTGAATTATGTAGAAACAGGTCTAACATTCAGGCAAAGGTTTAATCCTTCTGGTGAAGTCTTTGAAACTCGGAGGCTTATTATTTTTTTTCTGGTGTGCGCGAGACAAATCCCACTTGAATTTTGTCCAAATCCGGATAGGAAGCGTGATGGGGATTACTTCTTGTTGCTTTACAACAAATGTTTGTTATTGCTCATTGGCACAAACTCAGCAGCGGAAATATTAGTGGAGTATGGTCAGGGCTTACAGCTGAACCGTAAAATATAGTTGGAAAACAAGTTCTGCATGAACACATGATTCTGAAGTGTGAATATGACCAATGACTTGGTTTTTGCAACAGCTGTTCAGATAGTCAGAACATCTCACATCCACGAAGGGGACAGATTATGCAGGAAATTACTTAAATCTTGTTTTTACTTTGTGCCTTCATTACTCTGCACAACGTTAATTGTATACAGTATAAAATATCTGCTAGTTATAGTAAAATTCCACAACAGGGATGGAGCATCTATTAGTTTTGCAGTTGAGAATGAGAAGTCCATAGTCAGTTTAAGCCCCTTTCTGTGTGGAGTTTGCATGTTCTCCCCATGTCTGGTTGTTACGCTCAGTGTGAACAAGAGTGTATTTATGACCGCGACTGTCGGAGAAAGTTTGGATTTTTAGGTGAACAAAATGTAAAATCATAATATGTCTCACTTCAAATGTGTCAAGATAAGAGAAGGATTTTCTAGAGAATAGAGAAGGATCAGCGTTCCTGCACTTTGCCAGATCATCACTTCTCAGACATAAACAGAGGTGCACAGCAATGACAATGACATCAGTGAGTGAGAAGGTGGCTGCTGAGTCCTCCGGGGAACAGAAAGAGTGAGGAGGTGGCTGTAGAGACCCCCAAGAGAGCAGAAAGAGTGAGGAGGTGGCTGTAGAGACCCCCAAGGGAGCAGAAAGAGTGAGGAGGTGGCTATAGAGACCCCAAGGGAGCAGAAAGAGTAAGGAGGTGGCTGTAAAGACCCCCAAGGGAGCAGAAAGAGCGATGAGGTGGCTGTAGAGACCCCCGGGGGAGCAGAGAGAGGGATAGGAGATAGCATTCAGAGTGGGTGTTGTGCTCAGTGATGCAGGCTGTTATTTCTGGGCGATGACTTCATGATCCAGGATCGACGGTGACGAGTGGCAGATGTGTGATGGAACCCATCCGGTCACTCTAAAGCGTGACTCAGCTCCGACACGAGAGCCTGAATGGAGACGTAAGCCCCATACACAGGCACACACACACACACACACTGCAGAATGTAACAAGCCAGCTGGATTCTAGCAGCGTCTTCTGCACTATAAACATAGCACAAGCACTGGGGTGAACCTACTGTCACTGTGGGAGGTTGGACTGAAGCCAGACTTGTTTTAATGCATTTAATAAAATCACACAATTCAAAAAAACAAAAGGAAAAGGCATATAATGGTATATAGTAGGAGGATTTTCTACTTCTGGGTGGATCATCAAGACTATTGGTCCTCCTAATTGTCAATCATTCTGGTGATTCTGAATTTCTCCAAGGGGGGATCAATAAAGTATCTATCTATCTTATCAATCCATTTATTCATCTATTCATCTATCCATCTAATCATCAATCTATAAATAAGACCAGAGAGTTTTGTTCAAAAAGTGGAGAGGGCGGTTCTTTCCTAAAATTTGGGAAAATCCTCCTGTATACCTTTAAGTATAAGTTTTGATCTGACCAATACAATTAAAAGCAAATGAAACACAAAGACCTTTTTAAATACAAGAATATAGGAAAAGTTCACTCCAGGCTGGGCCTTTTAAAATGCAGCGCGTTTAAATAAAACCGTCTATAAAAAGGCCAAATTGTTTTTTATTACTGTCAACAATTATACAGGATGCACTGATGTCTGCACGTGGGGTAAGGGCTCAGTGCAGGTTACACAACAAGCAGCAACTCAATTTGTACAGACCGAGCATGTCTCTTCATTCAATTTCTATAGAGCACAATTATCTACAAGAATTCCAACACAAAAGCCTGTTGTCAAGACAGCTGTATCCAAAACAGCAATGTCCAAATGATTTAACCAGCATTTAGAAGAGAACATTACCCAATTACAAATACACGTGTCGTTAAAATAATCCTTTAAAACAGAAGCTAATAGCGGCAAAAAAAATGACGTAAGGCACAATTGAGAAACGAGGACTCTTTCATTAACTCTGACTAACAGCTACTGCGTGCTCCACTCGATAATTACAACAGGCGATCAAACAGCCAGGAATCTTAACAAGAGAAAGTTGGAAATAGGGATTAATTAGAGACTTTATTTTAAGCACACATTTGTGAGTCTATACATGTCCGTGCTGCAAACATGTTGGCTCACAGAGGCAGGGAGATTTTGGAACTAGTACTGTCTCTGTCTGGATTTTTACAGTCGGATTCCCAGAACACATTACACAAAACTATACTAAAAAGCAGACACAAACAAATATATTAAGTATCTTGGTCCAGTATCTTGGCCAGTGGTGTGACAAGTCACACCACTGGCAAAAAGACAGGCTTATGTAATAGAGCTGAAAGGTTTAGTTCTGTAAAGCAGCAAAAGTACAGGACTATGATTCAGTGTACAGATATTTGACTTCTACCAGCAGGGGGTGTTCTCTGTTAAGCTGGCTTTAGTTTTGTTACTGACATTAGGACGAAATCCATTCAGACTGAATATTACAATAAGTAACAAGTTCAATCAAGAGCTTTATAGTTTATCTTGCAAATAATTTTAATCCAGGAAACTTGGCTTCACATGGATTTCTACTCAATCCTTGTGCATTTCCTTATGTTATAAATCTGCGACTGTATGTTTGAATGTATATTTGTGGCATTGATTGGCAGGAGCGCTCCATAAAGAACCCAACACATTAATTCAGTTACAATTTACATATAACTATCACACACACATTCCATAATACAAGTAACTGGAAAGACACATGGGGAAGTTTGTATGTGCAAAAGACAAAGGAGCAAACAAATGTATCATGCACATGTCCCATAGAACTGAACCAGGGAAATTGCTGTCGCTGTTTTACTTTGCACCCACAGTTTAGCAGCATGTTGGTAAATACACAACATGGTTTGCACATGTTCTGTGCTTTTTTGAAGTTCATTACTTACTTTGAGGGCTTTTTGGGCATGGTCACTGGAGCCGATCAGAATAAGGCCTGGTCCCCCCATGCTGCAGAAGCTCTTTAGGTGCAAGCCCTCTTCCACTGCAACAGTGGACACAGCATAGTCCTGCAAAGTTAAATAAATAGCATTACTTTTTAAACTTGCATACCTTTTAATGAGTAACTACAACTAAGTTGTCATGTCCATAAGCAAGACAATTCACCCACATTGCCGAGTGTGCATGTGTGTGTGAATGGTTGGTGGTGGTCACGGGGGCCAATGGCACTAACTGGTTTCCTTTCTTCTGTCATAATAAATTCATTACATCATAAGTGTGCCGCAGCTGCCCTGGGGCAAACTGAGGCTGTAGTGAATTAATAATGGCATGTGAAGAATCCTTGAGTGTCCAAAAAAGTTCTATATAAAACCAATGCATAATCATTCCTTCATCATTATAATGCAAAAGTGTAAAGTATATAAATACCATGTATTATTTGTCATTTCATGTTCAGAGTGTGGAATAAGAATATTTATGTTGAATGGTAAACATGTTTTCTACCTGAAACCCCATATGCTACCACCAGAGATAGGAGGTCCTGATGTTAGCATAGATAGATCTAAGCACAACTCCAGGTCAGTTTTTGATGAGAGAACCCGTAATTTCCCTTACCACAAGAAAATGAGCATTTATTATGCAACTGGTTCCTAAAACATGGAAGGAAAAACTTGGAAACCAAAAATGGTTTTGTAAGAATATTTATGTACACTGTGGTGAAGTATCTACATTGGACAACCATGAAATATAGAAGAGTAGCTTTACTTTCCAGGAACAGTCTCATTTTCTCAATACTGGGAATACATTTATAAGTCCATTAAAATAGTTTCTTTAAATGTGACTTTCATGTGTTTTCTTAATCATATAATATGTTTGGATTTTGGCTTTTATTGCCTCCAGATATCGGAAACACTGTTAACCACCTCGTATTTTACCCTGGTCTATAGGAAATTGTTGACAGTTTCCATTGGAGACTTCGGTAACATTTCATAGAACAATATTTGAACTTTGTGGATCACATCATTACGGCTGTGATTCACGGTGGACGTTACTGTGACTGAAGGCCAGAGCAGCAGCTGGCGGACAAAATCACCAATTACCACATCCGTAATGCTTTCCTGAGCGCTTGCCGTGGCTCTTGTTTAACAGATACTGAACGTCAACTGGGAATTATGTAACTTGGACTTTCACCGTTACTTATCTGTAAAAAAGAAGGGACTGTTTCATCTTAAAATTAGAAATGCAAGTCATACTTATCCCCCTCATCTGATAAACCCTCTGGGAAATCAACAGACACAGAGCTATGATTTACAGATCTTACACAAACCAAACCAATTGCGGCCCCAAAAGACCCTTTACATAATTCAGCAATGGAAGAAATATGTTCTTTGTTCTTAAAAAGATTTTGAGGAATTATTAGACAAGACAGTGTAGCGTGAGAGAAGGGAGGACACCCAGCAAATTGTCAAAGCTGGGAATCGAACTTTTGACATTGGGTGCAAAACGGTGGACAAAGTCTTGTGGTTCAGGCTCACGGGCCAATATACCAACTGAGCTACCGTCGCCCCAGAATTACTACCCACAACCTTATACGTGGACTGTAAATATTGCATGAATATAAATTACAGCTCGATTTTCCTGATACCTTAGTACCAAATTTGAACATTGAACATTATAATCATAAAACTATTTTTAAGCGTGCAGGGTTCAGTATCTTCTATTTTAGTTAAATTCAAATGTTTAAGATTTTCCCACAGACAAGGTGCATAGTATTGTAACATTTAAGAAAATGGCCAAAGGCATGTTTATACAATTTTAAAATCAACGCTCCAACCCCAAAGACTGTCCCATGGTGAGACCTCTCCCCTTTCGAGGTGATGTTACATATTCTGTTCAACATGGACTAGCATGTAGCAGTGTTGGTCCTGTCTTGTACAGTAGGGGCGATTGATGTCTTCAAGTTGATATCAAATCAACAGAAATGCCAGAAATCTCTTGATTGGAGGACAAAATATGTTAATGAAACATATTTTGTCCCCCAATCAACATAATCCTGGTGAGGTCGGTATTACTGCAGACTAGTGGCAAGTCCCAGAGGATTGGTAAGAGATGGATTTGATTTGGAACAAATTTACTCTTACATTTTAGCTGCATAAATCAATGCTACAACCAGCTCTTAAGGAATGAAATAACACACCTGCCTCAATAAGACCCTCCTAATGTATGCAAATGCAACCATTCGGAAAAAAAAAACATACAAAAGTCATTCTACTTAATCTAAACCTAAACTTTTACACTCCTCCAGCAAAACACATCAACATCTGTCTGCAGTTGTTGAGCTATAAACAAACCCAGCAACACAATAATGCCAATAATTGGATAATGAAGGGAAAAACACACGGGCGATAAGAGCTGTCAATCTGATAAAAAATGGAAAGAGCTACAATGGACGCATAAGTGATTTTTCCGAGTGCGATTTGCCATCGATGCATCATTAGGAGCCAGTTTGTGAGAGATAACAGAAAACATACAGGAATCTTAGCCAAATGTGAGACAGATGGAAAGATGTCTCAAGAAGGTTACCCTAAAACACTTCATCCTTTGTATAAACCTGATTCAGCAGCAAGAAATACAAGGAAGAACGATACGCCTTTACAGTAGGTTCTTCAGAAATGAATGGATTGTGCCAAATTTATAACAAAGAGGGATTTGGTATCTTTTCTTTTCTACGGAACAAAAGATTTATACGCACGAAAAAGGAAATGCCGTGTACAGGCTTTTCAAGAAAGCATTTTTGGCCTATTGATGTCATGTCTAAAGAAATACAAGTTTAGGATTTTGCTACTTTTCTCAACCTTGTGGGCACCGGCCATTGCAAACCGTCCAACATTTATTAAGAAATATTTTAGTGGTGAGTCGGCCATTCTGTGCTACTTTTTCCTTTGAGTGGTGTTTGGGGAGATAATGATGTTGTCAAGGTCAGGCCATAGTGTTCAAGGATTTGTCTAAAGGGAAAAAAATGTCATATCGTGAAAACTTGAAGGCTCCCATTAGCTGCAAGATAAGGACCAGGTCACGTCAATCAAACACCAGCTTTTTCCATCCTTTTAAAATGTTTAGTATAATCCAAATTCCAACTTTTTTGTTGCACCCCGTCACCCTAGAAAAGCTAATTTTACATGGCTTTCAAACGTATTGACGAGTTGTTTGGACGGATTCATTATTCTTGTATGTAATTAAGATTAATAGATCCTTTATTCGTCCCACAGTGAGGAAATGTCAGTAATAAATTATGAACGATGGCGTGATGGTCCGGAGCGGTGAAGAGAAGGATGGATGTTGGACCAAATCTAATGGAAGGAAGAGTGAGGGAGAACCTCGGCAAATAGAATTACAGAGATGACATGAGACAAATGGAGTGATAATGCCTGTAAGTTCTGGAAGATCTTTAGCTTCAAGAGTTCTGTGCAAAGTTTCCACAGAGCATTGGTACAATGTGCAGCGCCCAAACGTAGGATAGGTTTCAATTTGCTAAAGAGTCATTTCTATTCTTTCTCCTTAAAAGCACGGTTACGGTTAGACCTGTGAGGAGAGAACATTTTCTATATGTTAAGACCCGTTCAAGCTCACCCCACTCCTTCCAGATCGGATGAAGTGTATTCAATTAGGCTTATTCTTGTTCTAAATCTTATTTGTCTATTCTCTTAGTAAATCTTACTTGTGGTGGTTTTGCCAAGGAGGAAGAAGGGGTAATATGAAAAATACTTCGTTTACAGTATTCACTAATTAATAACATGGTCAAAAATATTATCACCTTTAAAGCTTATTTTTATATTCATGATATCACTTTTCATTTAACTCTGGCGGCGGGTGAACTAATTCTACATGTGCTTTGAGCGCTACACGGAGGAGAATTCTACTTCTTCGTCCAAACAAAACCATGCAAAGCTGTAATTTCAAATTCCATTTTTGCTGCTTCTGTTAAATGCAGAATGATGTTTTTTCTTCCACGTCTTTGCAGCGGCCTTAGGACATGTTGTTGCGGAAGTGATTATACTGGTGAGGGTCACGCGTGTCCTGTTGTAAAGTTCCACTACCCACTACTGACCGGGTGCTAGACCGCTGTGCACTTTGAATACAGAGCCTGGTAGTTTTTGGAAATTGCTTTGCAGCGTCTCAGCAGCTTCTCCGTCTAAACGGGGCCTAACACGCAAACAGTTTACACAGCTTGATCCGCGGAGTCAAATTGCGTGGATAGTATTTGGGAAAACATGATAAAAGTTAAGTTATCCCAGTGTTGAATGTTAAGGTGCCAAATACCATGCTGAGTAGTTACTTAGATAGATATATTGTAGTGTGTTGGATTGAGCCTTAAACAAAGTTTGTGATGTATCTCATACTCTATAGTTTATAAAAAAAATTGTCAGGACTTAATCCCACACACCATTACACAAATGCATCTTTGAAAAGAGAATGTTGTATTTGGACCACCCACATATTTCAGAGAATTTTGCTACTCATAAACATATAGGACAGGTCAGAGATTACTCAGTTTTCTCTGGAATTCACTGTTAATGAATTATTGCAACAATGATAAAAAAGAGAAAAATACTACTACTTAAATGAAGACACGGTCTGGGCTCTATATACGTTCAACAGCAACATACAGGATATTTTCTGCCAAGAGAATGTGCTCCAAGTGGGTCACCGCTTCCTTTGGGGGAGAACTTAAACCATGGTTAAGTAAGGCCAAAAGTCAAACTAAATAATACTGGGACCAGACAAGAAGATTAGTTAGCTTTAGGTACATATATGTATTTTAGTTAACATGTATAACTTGTATCTGATTGTCCCTTACCTTAAAAGCGTCAGCTAAAATTTCAGCTCCTTTCTGATTGGTCCGCTTGGATAGGCCCACAAAGAACTCTTGACCTGGAAGCATATGAAAATGAAATTACAAAGAAAAACTTTCTTTGTAGACATTGCAATTTTTCAAATATTTCACGGTCTAAAGTTACAGCTGCCTTGAATGAGTGCTATACTAGTGTGTGTGTGTGTGTGTGTGTGTGTGTGTGTGTGTGTGTGTGTGTGTGTGTGTGTGTGTGTGTGTGTGTGTGTGTGTGTGTGTGTGTGTGTGTGTGTGTGTGTGTGTGTGTGTGTGTGTGTGTGTGTGTGTGTGTGTGTGTGTGTGTGTGTGTGTGTGTGTGTGTGTGTGTGTGTGTGTGTGTGTGTGTGTACGTGTGTGTGTGTGTGTGTCCAACGCCTGGCTGTCAAATATCGCTTGTGTGGTCAGACTGGTGTGGCAGTACAGCAGACAGTGCCCCATTGCATGCAAAGTCTAGATAGGGGGCTCTTCTCAGTCTACTGTGCAGTTACAAAATGAGCTGTTAGCTTGGAGCATGCCAGCAGGAAATGTTTCTAGCCCTGCCATATGAAACCCATTTGGGCTGGAAGGATTGGGAGCACAAGTCAGTGTCTAGGAACCTAATTAGGTGTACTAGGCTTTTTTCCCCTAGTGGTATGGGTAGTGTAGAAGTCAGACATTGACCCACATTTCAAGGACCACATAATATAATGTACAGATAATATAATATTGTTCCACTGCCATTTCAATCTACAATGTTTATCTTGGTTAGCTCCATTGATTTGTTTTGACCATGAAAGAGCATTACTATTATGGGAGAATGTAGTGTTCCACATGTCATGGGGTTGTCTATCGGTCTTCCAGTTCACAAAAGAAGTATTTTACTTCTTATTCTAGCTAAAATCTATACAGAGCCTTAGCTAATGTGTTTAAGAATTGTAATGTAATTAGGCAATACATCTTAGAATAGCCTCTAAAATCAATACAAGCAAAAAGCATTTTAAAAGTAGGTGCAATGTCAAAACAAAATGATGTGTGACACATTTGGGTCATTTCCACTGAGCAAAAACACTCCACAGAGTTTTTCTCTCTAAACACCTGGGTCTTCTCTACACACGGGGAAAATGACTTGGAATTCAACCTTTTTGCAAACTTGGAAAGTCTTTTTTACCAAGTTTAGTTCCGTGTTAACACTGTGATAAAATAAACATATACATGTAAACATGTGTCTTACATGTAGGTCATATGCAAGTCACGAGAAGGAACTATACTTTGCTCCATTACAGCGCAACGGGCCGTGTAACGAGAGTATCAAAGTCTGTGCTTTTGCACTTGCTGCTCTTTCTTTGATAAAGTGGTCCGCGCAAAAAAACCTATGTTTATATTGTTCCATGTGGATGATAAATTTGCCGTAGTCCATCATAATCCATTTCTCTGACTTCCTGGCTGAACGCGTGCTATGTCCAGGCCGCTTCTAAAGGACTTCTGTTGCACTCATGAACAGTCAGAGAAAACAGCTTAACATTCTTACACATGAACGAAAACAATGTGGAGGAGTGAAAAAGAGCGACATTGAGGGTCCTGAGCGCTTCAACACTCTGGTCATGTGATCTACTGCCGATTCAAAGCACATTTCTCTGTGAAGAAGGATACAAGCCCTGAAGCTTCATTTGCATCATCCCATCACCAATGTGAAGGATTGCATTGTGAGGACAAGAAATCAGTTTTGTGCTGAGAGTGCAAAAAGTGCTCAAGGGTTCTGTGCTAGTGGGTGAAGAACTTAATACTTACCATAGGCCGCAGTAGGAGTTCAATTAAAATCTACCTAATCTGTTCTAACTTCCTTCTTGTTTAAAGATCAAGTACCCTGCAGGCAGACTCAAAACTTTGTCCACACAAAATTCCTTATTTCCTCTGCAAATAATTAATAATATGAATAATGCATTTTGCTTTTAACCATTTAACATTCACTTCTTGAAGAAAGTAATGTAATTTTTTCTTTTTTGGATTTTCTAAGATGTAAGCGCACTAATAACACATTTAGCCTTTTTTAACTTCTATATTTATTTTGTAATTCAGATTTTTATTTGGTTTTACAACTTAGTAGTCCTTACATATACTATGGGCCTATAGCTTACAAACAAAAACTGTACTGTAATAAAACAAAGGAGTAAACATAGAGCACCCTGTATTCCTTCCCTTTATTATGACTCCATTATCTGCCCCTAAGATTCATTGAAAGTCAATTATTCAATGCATTATATTTTCTTATGAAACTATTCTAAATTTTCTAATTTTTTTCACTTTCTGATAATAGGGGGAGAGGGATCCATCCACACACTCAAAATGATCTGTGCCGCCATAATTACCCCCACTTTCACAATTGAACACTCATTTACTCCAGGAATTACAGATTTATCTCACAGGTGACCTTGGTATGATCTTTCCAACCCATGAGAACCCCTATTTTTTTTTATTATAGGCTTTTAACAAATGGTTGGGATGATGGTGAAAGTGTGATGCCCCAAAGAGGTATATTTCAGTTCCAAGCTTGCTTAGAGTAGATATATTGACTCAAAAGGCGATGTACTAAATGGTTGAGGAAATCATTAAGGGGTTAAAAGAATATTGGCCTATGTGGTAGAGAAAATGTCACTGGTTTACAGACATCTTGAGCTAAATCTAGCTGGAGGAGAATGTCTGAACAAAGTGTCCAAAACTACATTTTTAACTGGAAGTCAGATGTGTCATTATTGTATTTTCATGTTCTCACTGTTACACTGTCACACCATCAACACGTGCAGAGAAGGTTCTGAAGTCTGGGCTTGTAAAACTTTCCATAGTTTACACATGGTATCGAGTGTTGTACCGGTGAACAGCACGTCCCCTCCGTCCAGTGTGGCGTTTTCATCCGTCATCTCGACTATGGTCAGACCCAGCTTCTTCAGGGCCTCCTTCATCGCCTTTGTCTGGAAACGGCCAAAGCACACAAACAAAAACATTGAGACATCTGCAAATATTAAACAAAGGATGACATACGCTGCAGTGAGAGTCAACAACACAACCACAGCCACGAGCATTTCCTATCAACGGGAACATTATCATATCTTGTTCCAATCAGGCTTTTATAAACAGGATGATGACATGGATTTGTATAATGCACAGGCTTAGGGGGCTTCTCTGAATGAAAGAATACAATAAATCTCACTGCCATGACGTAATTTCAAATGATGTCATGTAAACGTGAGAGTATTTTACAAGAACTAGAAACACGGTTGTTCCGATTGACCCAGAAGAAAAACCCTGCTTTTGTTTTGAATGTAGTGCAGAATGAAAATACGTCACAATAATTTCTGTGTTACAAAGAAGACATTTTTTGTACAATTCCAGGAAAGGAAAATGATGGAAACCCATTGTCCACCTGCATGTTATTGTTCCGTTGGCGGGACAATAGAGTCTGGTCTGAGCTCTCCTGTCTGACCGCCCAGATGGATTTTACTGTCCTTTTTTTAAGGGGCTCCTACGGGACAAGTTTCCAAAGCCTGTCGTGTTAGAACCAGCATCAGTGTTTCCATGGGCCCTATCTCACAATGACCTCAGCGGCCCACTCACTCACAACTTGAGGCCAAATACTTACACTTCTGCTCACAAGGGAAATAGCAGGGCATGAGGTCACCCAGGTAGACATAACTGCCCAGAATAGACCAGCAGGCAAGAGGTTTTCTCAAATCCTATGGTATTCTGTACTTTAGGGTTTTAAAGGGCAGAAGGTTATTTTCTGTATTATTGGTGCCGGTTATGTCATCTAATTTGTAAAGGTGTTCATATAAGAAAAGGGTAGGAGTTTAAGAATTTTTTTCATACTCCCGTTCTTTTTTTCATGGAATGTATTACTTGCTGGATATTGTTGTAGTACGTTGTTGCATTATCATGAAAACATTGAGAAAAAAATAAAGACTAAAAGCTAAATACTAGCCTGGTCTTACCATACCATTGTACTAATTGCATTTCGTGCTAATGTCTGGATTTGCTCCATTGCGCTCCGTTAACAGGTGGGAGGGGTTTACTACTTTTGCAGATTGAAATGATTGGATCTGAGTTTACTGTGACGTATGTAATGTGCCCGAGTGAGAGAGGCATATAGCATTTAGCCTAGCTTTAGCCATCTCCTTCGCCACTAACGGAGCCCGTGTAGAACCACAACATCTTTGCCAGCAATGAAATTTGCTAAACATACCTCAGATTACTTTCCTATCGCATTCACCGCCATTGCAAAACTACAAACAGCAAATTTGGCGCAAACTCTTGACGTCACCGACATCTACCAACAACACCCGCCTCCCCCGCTCACTGATTGGTTGGAGGGGGTAACTGCAGCCACTAGGATCAGACCCAGACATACATGTAGGAAACGATCATGGACCAGAGTTTACTGACGGTTAAGACCAGGCGAGGTAAATAATATAGTTCATAAAAAAGCAGAAAGCACAGCAATGTGTCTCTTATTTTTCCATGACCATTTGTACAAACTGCAAATAGAACATGTCATAATCAATTCCGTCACCCTAGAACACATCGTGTAACAAACAGCATTTAGGTTTAGGGCCAGTAGTTACTATAGTAGCTTGAGTACAATAGTTCAAAAGGCCATTGGCTCACAACTCAGATGGCAACTTTCCATCTGTGTGCTGTCCAGGAGAAGACACAGGAATCCCTCCGAATAATCAAACCTTCCTCTTTGGTGTTTCTTTTGCACTGCAGGCGCTATACTCATCTTTCCGCTTCAGAAACAGAAAAGAACACTTTGTACTTTCAACTCCATGCAAATATAAACTCACTATTAAGAATTGTAAAGTTAGGACCATTTATGAGTGCACTGAATAGTTAATTCCTATATGGGTAGGGAAATCAGAAACAGGTCCTGGCCTTGACTGGCATTGCTTGGCTTTTCATCAAGAATTCAATGAATAAATGTTGACTCACTTTCTGAGGAAGTCGGTGAGGCTTTTTGCAGAGTGATTTGTGTTCAATGGGTTTCCTCCAAAGAGAAACACTTTTCCATGTTAATCAGCATGTAATTCTTCAGTAATATTAGGAATGTTGGAAAATAAACATTTTGGTTGTATCAGTCATTATCAACAACTAGTAATGACCACATTTTCCTTCAAAACCTGGAGCCTTTTGCTGTGGGTACTGTCTGCAAAAGGATTCTGCTTCACTGCATGAAGCACAGACATCAGCCTGCAGGCATTTCCTGTGACATCACTGTAGTCAAGTGACCTGAGGCGACGATGGCTCCTGACCATCAGAGACAACAGCTCCGTTTGCAAATGTGCTTTGACGCCAACGTAAGCACACAGCTATTACAAGTAAACCACACGCTTTTTGGCAGCGACTCTGACTTCTATTTGCATAAACTTTGCTGAGCTTTGTCAAAACCTGTTGATTCTGTGTTTTCAACAGGAGAAGATAGATAGTAGTGATGTTATAGGCTTGTCTAAACATTTTCTTTTGATATAATATAACATGCATATGTTTAACCTGTCCGTGAGATGTATCTATTCTACTGTGTTAAGGCGGTTGCCAGCAGACAGTCTTTTTGAGAATGGACAAAATGTGGGGCCCAGAAACTGAAAGAGAAGAATAAAGAAACGTTTGAGGGAAGCCAGTTTGCTGTATAGAAAGTGTCCTGGATTCATGTAGAAATTCTGCTACTTTGGCACCTAAAGGGTTCAACTTTGTGGCTGGATTTTGAAACATGGATTTTGAAACACATATTTGCATCAGGAATGAACACGTTTAGCTTTGTTAGAGCTGTGTAGTTTGAACTTTAAACAATCTGGTTTAAAATATGTTTTGTTGTTTGATGCAAATCCAATAAATTTACAGATCAGAACACCTGCCGATTGAAAGTCATGCCAAATGCTGCCTGCATGTCCCGGCACAAGCACTTCTACCGAAGTTGTGACGTCTTTTTAACTGTAGATCAAGCAGAACGCTCAATCAGGGACTGTTCGTGAAGGTCATTGTGCGCGGATGCACTGAATATGAAATACTAAACTTAATCGTGTCAATATAAAGTTTGGTTGTGATCTTTGATTGAGGTCAAATGTATACATACTGAGATAAAGCTGGTTAATATTAGGAATGTTGATATCCATTATAGAAAATAGTATTGGCACGACCTGGTCCAAATTGAGTATTCCATTGAGTCATTTATATGAGTCAGATTATGTGAATGGCAGAGTTGGTCATAACAAAAAAAAGTTTTTGCACAATTTTCAGAAAAAGTTATTACATCACAGAGAGATTACATCTTATTTTAAAATAAGATTCTGCTGCTTTGCCCCTTTGTCATGGGCCAAGCAGCTAGGTCTTAACAGAGCACACAGAGAATAAACAGTGCTGGATCTGGATATTCTCCAGCCGTAAAGCATGACTAACTTCAGTATTTTGTGTTTGAACGCAGTATCATGTCCGGAGTAGCAGAAGACGACACATCAGCTGTGGAATAATCAAACAGTGATGACAGCAGTATAAACGCCAACATTTTCACAAGATATACTGCAAGTAACTAAAAAACTGTATGAGCATTCTGGGTCAAAATCAGCCAGTAAATAGTCTAATGAAAGGTTAAGCCTATATCCTGAACATTACTGAACAAATAACCAATCCAATCTTTTCTTTGGATTTGCACAAATACCAATTGACACTTGAGCTAAAGGAAACGATAACAATAATATGGTTCAAAATCCGAATAAAAATCATAATAGATGTGTCTTTTTCTTTTAGTATTTGAAGATTGGGACTGTCAGAAAAATTATTTAAATGGTTTTCTCAATGTTCTTCATTAAGAATGTTCCCACTGTGGCCTCCCATGCAAAAAAGCCCTTTATCTCAGATTGTAGGAGACACCCAATACCTCTGTCTGAATGGGTGCATCCACTTTGCCAACGCCTGTACTCCCACTGTGCTCCTATCCCATCTCCCTAAGGCTGGGCCACACGCTGTCCGCCAGTACCCTGCTTTGAATGAAAAAGACCTTTTAAAATTCATTAAGCACTAAAGGGCTTGTCAGTCGGCCTGCCACATTCCTGCCGTTCCAATACGGGACAGGGGAGATGAACCAGAGAGAACAGCCTTTTCTTTGGGCCTTTTTACGGACCCACTTCTCCATTCTTTAGCCCCTGGTGCCCGTGGATATCGCATTCTGCTAAAATGGCCTGTAGAAAGAGTAGGGTTCAATGTGAGCGGTAACAGACTTCACAATGGCATTCCTGAAGGTCATCCTAGCCCCACAACACCAGGCAATAGTCCCACGCCTCCAAATAATGGGGCTACAGCATTCCACTTGTCCCACAAGCAAAAAGGAAAAAAAGCGACCTCATTTATGACACATAGCAGCTACAGAGCGTAAACCGATACCAATAAAGTGAGTGGCAGTTTTTCGGGACGGTGCAATTCATTGCGTACTTTAGACAAGAGTTTGATGAAATCCAGTTGATCATAAAATAAATACTGACTCAAAAAAGCGTCTGGAAAGAAAAGAGCGTGCATGGACATATGGGCACAAGTTGCGACAAAAAAGTTTGTGCGTCAGAGTTTTGGCGAAACATTCAGGACACACGTGATGATTGTACCAGATAGTTGTGGGCTAGTGCACAGGAAAGTTCAAGTTCAAAGACCTATGGAATACAAACTGGCCGTATCTACGGACACTCAACTGAGTGGAACATAAAATCATATTAACTTTTGGACTACATCGTAATAAAGCTCTTTGGACTCAACGGAAAGTAGTTCATTTTCATCATTTCCTTCGAATGAAAGTCAGTGGCCTCATTTGACATCGTTGAAAGCAGTAGGCGAAAGAAATGCTTTCTCATGGTCATCTTCAGACAATATATACATTTCCTTTGCTTTTTAAACTGTGTCATGTACCTGCTGTGACTGAGTAAAGAGATGCTCCTGC